ACTACTACTACTACTACTACTACTACTACTACTACTACCACTGCTACTGCTACTGCTACTGCTACTGCTGCTACTACTGCTACTGCTACTACTACTGCTACTACTGCTACTACTGCTACTCCTACTACTACTACTACTACTACTACTACTACTACTCCTACTCCTACTCCTACTACTACTACTACTACTACTACTACTACTTCTACTACTACTACTACTACTGCTGCTCCTGCGCCTGCGCCTGCGCCTGCTCCTGCTCCTGCTCCTGCTCCTGCTCCTACTGCTACTGCTCCTACTGCTTCTACTGCTACTGCTGCTGCTACCGCTACCGCTGCCGCTACGGCTACGGCTACGGCTTCGGCTACTGCTACTGCTGCTGCTGCTCCTGCTGCTGCTCCTACTCATACTTCTATTTGCAACTGCTACCGCTGCTGCTACTGCTACTGCAGCTGCCACTGCTACTGCTACTGCTACTGCTACTGCTACTGCTACTGCTACTGCTACTGCAGCGGCTGCGACTGCTACCGCTACGATGACGACGACGAAGACGACGACCACCACCATCACCTACGACGGTGTACTAACCTATTACGTGCGACCACCTACTACCTACTACGATCTACTACTGATTAGCTGGCACCTGGTGCTACGACTACTGCTGCTGCTACTCCTTCTAGCACTGGAATCAACATGCCACTAGCCCTAAACCCTCAATGCCAAACCCCGAAACCACAAAGCCCTTAAACCCTGAACTTTCCCCTAGACCAACCCAAACCCCAAACCCCGAAGGTGGCCGTTTGGCTGGATTGGGTTCACCGGGGGCGGCTCTATGGCGAGGCTGTGGCTTGGCATTCGCAGTTGCCGAGAGGCACACAGACAGGCCCGGAACGGTGATCTAAGGCTTTGGAGCTGTAAGGTACACTATACTTTGCTCACTACACTATATATACCTAGACTCTACTAAACATTACTAAACTATACTACATTACATTTTACTTTCCTATACTATCAGTATATGTCAAACTATTAATGCTACATGATACGAAATATACTGGAGTTTGTGGCGATCAGTCTTGTTCAATGTGTTTCACGTGTGATTGATTGTTTAAACCTGGTTTGTTGAACGACTATGTTTCTTTGTAATGTCTTTGCACAAATTCTTCGTGGGGACAAGGCTAGAACGGAAGACGGCATAGCCGTTTTGGGACAGAGCAGGGCTAGGTCCCAATGTAGTACGGGGGTCGGAACACATCGCGACAGCATCCTGGAGCAGTCTCTCCATAATGATCCTGTGATGTATCACGAAACCCAGCGAAAGCCGAGTACAAGATATATTGAACCTTGAATCGCCCATTTGAGGCCGGCAGATCTGGCTTAGATTCTATTCAGAGCATGCTTCTTCGTATCGCTCGAAAGCACGTGGTGAGATTGAGTGCGACTCAGGTGCTGACAGATTTGCTCTGTGTGGACACAGATCTTTTCCAGGAGGTGGGCCGTTCAAAGCCAGTGACATGAGGGCCGGTTTGTCTTACAGCTGGCTGTGTGTGTGCGCGTGTTCGATAGTCTTCTCGTTGCTAAGGCTCAAGAGACTGTGGCAGCCCTCATGCTGTGTTCTTTGCCGTTGTCTCTGGCGTTGAGATGTGCGTTGCTGTAGTTATTGTTGTTGTTGCGGTTCTTGTTATTGTTATCCCTGATTGTTGTTGTTGCTGTTCTTCTTCTTACTTATTACTCGTCGTCTTATTATTATTCTTGTTGGTGGTGGTGGCAGCGGCAGTGGTTGTCTTCCCATTGCTGTTGGTGCCACACGTATTGTCTTATTGCACTCTCTGGCGTGATTACTGTTACCGGTTGTCCTGCTGCTTCGATGGGCATAGCTCCTCTCGTCACTGTTGCTGCTGCTGATGACTGCTAGTCTCAACGAGAATGTAGTGTTCTAAATGTTGCTATGACAAGTGACAAAAAAAGCACTGTACTTGTTGTGAAGCAGTAGTGGCCAGCTTCTGGTAGAGTCGTAAAGCACGGGAGTTTTCTGCATCATTCTGGGTCTGCTGCTTCGACCGTTCGATGCATCTAACGAGCCATTGAAGGTCTGATTGGCGGAAGCCTCAAGAGCCCGACCCGACTACTATAGGGGCCTAAATAATTACCAGACTACTTTGGGGGGGTTCCACAATCGGCCCCCAAACCCTGTTCTAATGATTAAGGCCCCTACTTTAGCGGAAGTCCTAATGGCTCGGCCGATCACTTTCGAGTTTCGTAGGGTTCCTGGTCCTTGCCCTTGCAGGTGATGCGCAAGAGTGTGTTGCTCAAGGACAGACGCCGGGTTTCTGCATCAATATCAGAGTGCCAGACATAAACTTCACTTCGTGTCTAGCTCAAGCATCTACATAGCCACCAGCTGCAAACTCCAGCAAAGCAAATCGCCCGAATTCCTGCCGGCCCCAGATTGCCAATGTAAGTCTCTCAGCCTCCCTGTTAAGCAGTACTACTACCACTACTCCTCTGAGGGTTCCTTATTGTCCTTCTACTATAATAGATTCAGGCCCAAGTCTAATCATAAAGGCCCTTGTTTTAAATGTAGTAGGGGAGATTGGAGCCGGTCTGGGTCCAAAAGTCACAGGATGATCCATGGAAGGACGCCATCAAGCTTTTAGAAGAGTCAGAAGGTGGCGATGTAGCCTGCGCTGTTGCGGGTTCTCTGATAAGAGGACTCAAGACGCTTTTATTTGCAGACCATGTTGGTTGAAGTTTTGGCTTGTGCCAGGACATTCGCCTCTACGCCCGGCTCTTTGCCCTCCGCGCGATACGGATAGGCGTGCAGAATGAGCTTAGCTTTTAGGGCTGGTTGTCAAAGATTTTGCGTGGAGGTGAGCGTAGGGCGTAGGGGCAGGCCTTCGCAAAGCGGCTGGGCGAAGCACAGTTCCCGAATCGCCACAGAGTCTTTCTGCTGCCCGCTGGGTTTCTATCAGGTTCTATCAATGCACGCCACTTACCGGGACAACAAGCGTACCGGAACGTTGACATGATGCGCAGTGTAATATAGGGGCCTGAAATGGCCTGAATAACTAGAACAGGGTTTGGGGGCATATTATACTATAGTTGTAGTAAGCCTCAGGAAGCAACCCCAAAAAAGTATTGTCAATGATCTAGGCCCCTTTGCATGTCAGTTTCGGTTGTGGTATCATGGCTGCACAAAGAGAGCTGTCCCGCAGCTGGTGCTCATCGAAACAAGACTGTGCAAAGGCCCTTGTGCATGCGTATCTCACCAGTGCTGGCGGTTCAAGTTGCGGGGTGCTGCACTGGAATGGTTATGAAACCCTTGCACCCCAAGCCCCCAACCCCAAACTCGATTTCAGTATACTTCAAAGGGGACTGCTAAGCTTCCAAGGATTCCAAGGTGCAGGTGGTGCGTCTGAGGGCCTGGATAGGTTGTGGGGTTTTGGGCTTTGAAAGCTCGGCGAGGCCACCAAGGATGTCTGGATGATCTCTGGTATGAGGCCGTGGGCTTGGAAAGGATTTTCACGGTTTAGGGTTTAGGTTGGGCAGAGCTTCTTCACTTTGGCGATTGGGTTCTGAAACCAGGATGTAAATCAGATGATACCCCTTAAGGCTTAAACCTCAAATGCGAACACCTTACACCCTAGATTCCTAGACCTTTACAACCCGATAAACCTTCAAACTTCAAACCCCTAAACCCCTAAACCCTAAATCCGGAGATTTCTGAGTTTCCAGCCGCGTGTGGCAGTAACTTGTACACGTACAGGGATGTGCTCCTGGGGTTGCCAGGTCATGGAGTAGAATGCCTCTAGGGCCTAGGGTTTTAGGGTTGAGGGGTTTAGAGTTCAGAGGTTTAGGGTTTAGAGGAAGAGGAGACCAGGCCAAGATCACAAGTTTGGCTGGAAACTGTACGGCGTGTATAGCTCATCGCGACGATGCAAATGTGCAGCAGCTGCAACCATGGCCCCTTGTAACCTGCATGTTTGGATCCCCCGGATCGAGTCACAAGCTCTCCTAAAAAAAAACCCTAAATCCTGAAGCTCTAAACTCTAAAGCTCTAGACCCTAAACCCTAAAGTCCTAAAGCTCTCTGATATACCAGGAGGACACAATCCGAGAGATATCCTTCTTGGCTTTGCAGGGTGGCCTTGAGGCCGAAGACGGGGAGGGCGGGGGGGTTTGAGATTTTGGGCTTTGGGTTTAGGATTTGAGGGTTTTGGGGTTGAGAGCTTTAGGGTTTGAGGTCGAGGGTTTGCGGATTTTAGGGTTTAGGGCTTTAGGGTTTGAGGGTTAGGGTTTCGGGTCTTAGGGTTCAAGGGTTTAGGGCTTAGGGTTTTAGGGTTCACGGCTAAAGGTTTAGGGTTATGGTAACAAGGATCCTACTGCTTGCGGCTTTATTTAGGGGTCCTTCAATCTCGGAAACTCCCAATGCTTTGCTGTTTCGGTTCATCTCGGGCTTGGCATGAGCGATGCGACGGAGACCGGCCGATGGCTTGTTGCTTACATGTAACGCACCTATCAGAGCCTAT